TACAAAAAGTGTTTCACCTGACTGACCGCTTTTTGGATTGTTTGCAAGGTTAATTTTATGCCCTATATGCACCAAAGTGCTGCTGTGCCAGAAATCCTGCACCCTCAGGGTGGCCCATTGTATTATTTTTTACTGTGTCAGTGCATATTGGCAAAATAAATCAACTACTTCAAAAGGAAATTAATTTGCTTCCTGCCTTTACATGTTTGGCTCCCATCTTAAGGAGGAAGAAGGAGTTTCAAAGGTCCCAAGGAATATAAATAGAATAAAGTGCAGTAAAATAACTGTGTGCCTTCACTCCCTGAGATTCTTACTGTACAAGGGTCAAAAGTAACCCAAGATGTCCTCTTTCCGGGGTGGGGTGCTCTGTATCCACCTGAGTGCTGTGTGGCTGGGGCAGCCCTGTGCTGCTTGGAGGAAGGAAAACCAGGTGCATGGCCAGGGTTTTGACTGATGGGGTTGCCAATGCACTGTTTGTAGGAGCAGCTTTACTGCATAGATGTACTGCCGTTCTCCCTCGCTTCCTCTTAGGGTTGCTCAGGACTCTGTGTGTGGTCCTTATCTTCCCCACACAGCTCATCACCACTAATCTCTCCTGCAGAGCCACACAAGGGGCGATTTGCAGGTCTGCCTGTCTTCTCCCACTTGCTCCTGTCCAAACCACAGTTGTGGCTACTCTGAAATTTCCTTCTGTCTGTTTGGCCATCAAGTGGTGCTCAGAATGGCTTTAAAAATGCTTCTGACTTGTTGCTTGGTCCCCAGGTCAGTCTGTGCTCTTCAGCTCCTAGCTTGCTCTCTAGCTTCACTTGTTCTTTCTCAGATGCTTCAGGTCACACCTCTAAAATATCTTGTTTATTAGTTCTCCCAGCTGAAATTCCTGACCAGGCACTTATCTGTAGCTGCAGCATCCTCTACTCTATTCTTGGCCAGCTCAGTGTCCGCAGAGCATGCTGCTGCCATGGCTCTGATCACCCCAGTCATGTTGCTGTTCCTTGCCTGGATTTGCCACCTCCCCTTCTCTTTCTCATTTCAACAAAAGTTGTCTGCGCTTCTCATCCTGGCCTCACCCCTCTGCTGTGTCTCTCTGTACATCCCTCACGTTAGACACTCTCTGTAATTAAGTCTGCACTAACTTGTGTGCACCCTTCCATGCTCCCCTTCTGGGCCAACACTTTCTGCTTGTCTTTCTGGCCAGCCAAGGCCTCGGGTGACCTGTGCTCTCTTTTGACTGGTGTGGTCCCATTAATTTCTTGCATACCTGTCATCACCTTCTGTATTGCCATTTAAACTGTGGTTTTCCCTCTAAGGAAGGAGCTTTGTGTGCATAGTTCTCAGATGGGTCCCTTTTTATGTTGTCTGTTCAAAAGTGGGCATCCTACTCTAAATCTGACAGTAAGATGTGCCTGCCTGGACCTGGCTGCTTGGGGATATTCCCTTCCCTGCTCTCATTGTGCCTTTTCGATCATGTTCTCTATTTTTTTGAGGAAAAAAAAATCCTAAATGAGTACAGTCGTCCTCGTGCAGGAAAAGGAAGGCTCCAACAGCCCAGCGTACAGAACTCCAAATAAAAATGTGCTGTAAGAACTCTGGGTATTGGTAGGAACCACAGCTGCTTGCTATCCTAAAAAAGGAAAGGCTGAAAATAGCATAATCCCAGGAAAACTGGAACAATTGCTGTTGTTGAAGTCCGGTACCTAAAATGAACCCACACTGGAAGGAAGTCAGGAATCCTAAAAGTAGTGAATATTTAGAGATTGCCTGGTGAGGGAAACCTGCCTGCAACAGAGCTGCAACCTGCTAACTTTCGAGAGCTGCAAGAGAGAAGAGCTTGCAAAGCCTCTTGGTGACCCAGCAAAGTGCAGTAACTTCCACTGTGATGGATCACTGGGAGGCAAGAAAGCAAGCCTGAAAATGGGAAGGAATACACCAGATTTGGTTCTGTCCTGGTCCTGGCAGGTTTTACTTCCTGTACTGTGGTGGCCAGCAGCTGACCACCAGCAGTGGAAAGCTCTTTGAGGTTTTGCAGTCCTCAGGGTGGAGTTTTCAGCAGCTGTGTCTGGGCAACCATGCCTTGTCCCTTCATGGTCACCTGTGATCCACTGACATCTGGGAGAAGCAGTGGGGCATCTTCCCCTAGCCAGCCAATCTGTGTCCCTCCTCACCTGACAGTCATGCTGCTTTCTCTTTAGAAGTGGTCAAAGGCTTTCTCTGGGAAAAAGATGCAGATGTGGGCACAGGTGGTTTTGTCAGAAGAAAACGGGTTTGTGTTACCTTCCTCTGCCAGGGCCAGCCCAACATTGGCCCCTTGGCTGCTGTCCTGCTTTGTCTGCTTAGGTGCAAAGACTTCTGCTAGTTACTTTCTTTTTGCCTTTTTTTTTTTTCCTCCGGTCTTGGTTTCTTAGTTGCTGACATGATATGCATTTTTCCTCTCTGTCATCATCTCAGTGAAAATGCTGGTGTGTGGCTGTACTGGTGCGTGAGTGTTTGCATTCCCCACTTCTGGCCCTGGTTGGGTGCTGGGCTCTGTGGTGAGCAGCACTGCCGTGGCTTGCTCAAGCCCTGAGGACAGTGCTGTACCCTTGAGAACACTCCTTCTACAGAGCTGTCTTGCACAGCCTCTCAGGTGGACCTGGGTGTTTCAGATTTGATTTAAAACAGGAGTGAAACTGTAAAATGCCATAATTGTCGAAAAGGAACCAGAGGGCTGGATTTGGGACAGCTGCCGTTATGGCTTGGCCTGGCCACAGACCCCAGTGCCCTGTTTTCCTGTAGTCCCTACACCAGTTGCAGACCCCTGGGTATGTGTCTGTTGAAGCTCAGTCCAAGACCTGTCAGATCTTTGTTAAGCCAGGCTTTACTGAACCGAGCACCCTCTGTCTGCCAGCTGCTGCCTGCTCCTCGCTACTCCAGTGAAGGACCCAGGTAGTTCCTGCATTTACAACTGCCTTCCCCTCCACGTTTTCTTCAGTTGTCTCTTCCATTTCCCTTGTTGGCTGTAAAGAATATACTTCACGCTCTCCAGCTCTGTTTTTATGAAGGCTTATGTGAGTCAAATATATGCACCAGGTACATACAAACTGCAGAGAGCATGCAAGAGCTTCCCAGCATAGCAGTCCTGTTTTGCTAGCACACTGTGTGCTCTGCATGCTGCTGATTAATGCCCTTTCTCCCTTCCTTCCTGCAGTGGCTGAAGGATCCCGGCCCCCGCAATGAAAAGAGGACCCTTTTCTGTGACATGGTGTGTTTCCTGTTCATTACTCCCCTCGCTGCGATCTCTGGCTGGCTGTGTCTGCGTGGAGCCCAGGATCATTTGCAGTTCAACAGCCGACTGGAGGCCATTGGACTCATAGCACTAACTATAGCACTTTTCACAATCTATGTCCTTTGGACACTGGTAAGTGTCTGCTGCCCAGAGCCTTCTTTGTGTTCAAAGGGGAGATTGAAGTACTGGCTCACACTGCATCAGTGCAGCCAGATGTTTCTGACTCCCTTTGTGAGAAAAAGCTTGGGCTCTTTCTCTTGAATGTCCATTTAATTGTCTTCACATGAGAGCTGCTAAAGTTGTTGCTTGAGAATGAGAAACCACTTCCTGATCATCTGCTTTCCAGATTGACCTGGGAGCAGTGTCCCCAAGGATGTCATGTACCTGGGCACAGACATACCTGAGCGTGGCAGGGGCTGGGACTGGGGACAGGCAGTGGTCCAGCTGTTGTGCCTGTTCCTGTGAAGAAAAACAAACTTGGTACCTGAGTGGTTTGGGAAGAAATAAAATCTGGAAAATGTTTGACCCCTAAATAATCTACCATCATGTGCCTCCATGCTTTGTGCTGCCCAGCACAGGTTAAAGGATATGCAAGACTGGCTATTGGGGGGTCTCTGTGGCCCACAACTAAGCAAATTCCTGCACAATATTTTTAAGATGTCAGTAGCACAGAAGGGTGTGTGCAGGGAATGCTCTTGCCCTGGGTAGACCTCTGACTTCTCTCTCATACTGAGCTTTTAGACTCAAGCCCTGAGCCAAGGATGGGTAGCTAGCCTGCCCTGGCGCACTGCTGCGGTTTTACAGCTGCGCTGGCAGGGTTGGAGGCACTGGGGAGTAGTGGGAACCTGCACTTCGCACTGTCTGAGTTGCACTGATCCATGCTGGGAAAGAGCTTCCTGCAGATGCCTTGTTTTTCATCTTTTGGACATGCTGAATTAGGCAGCCAGGAGCTTGCAGCTTGGAGCAAGTCCAGAAGAGCAGGAAAGCAAATGTGAATTGCTGTGTAACCCACCTGGGAGTGCTCTTATCTGGGACCCCAGAGATGCAGCAGGGCTGGGGAGCAGCTTTCTGCCCTGCTGTTCCCTGAGCCATCAGGGCTCCCCTATCTCAGCTCTCTCCAGGGGTTCCCAGGCCAGGGACTTCCCTCTGTTTCCCATTCAGTTCTGTGTTCTGTTACTAGGTGGGTTTCTGGGTTTGGATCTTCATTTCGGCTCTCCTGTTCAAAGCCCTGTGTGTGCTCATGCCCTGTCAGTACCCTTTTCCAGCTGCTTCCTGGGAAGCGCCGTTTTGGGAAGGGAAGAAGTGCAATTGCTGGAGGAGAAATGGTGGGACTCCAAAACCTGGCAGTTCTGCAGACAGTAGAAATGCCACAGCCCATTTCCCTGACATCTCATGCTCTGATCTCTCAGAGTAACAGCTTTCTGTGTGGTTAGGGCATTCTTTGCAACTCTCCCACAAAGTCGGACGTGCCAGGGGAGGGTGAGCTGGTGCTGCTGTCTGTGCTTTGCCTGCAGTGGGAGGGCCTGATCCGTGCCGCTGTCATAACGTGCAGCAATTGCAGTGCACATGGAGCTCTTGAGGAAAGTCTCCATTGCTGCATGTATGTGCTGTGTAAGGTTCAATTGTGTAGAAAGCCAAGCTAAAGCTGGAAACCTTAAGAGGAAGTGCTTCCATCTCTTCTGTTCCAGGGCTGGTCTGGACTAGCTGGAAATCTGGAGGAAACAGAAAGATATTTTTTTTTTTTTTGTGAAACATGAGACCTGACTAAAATGGCTGTAGTTGTGCTTTTTTTTTTTTTTTTGGTGAAATATGAGACCTGACTAAAATGGCCGTAGTTGTGTTATGCTTCATGTTTCCTTGAACAGAGAAGGGCATTAAGTGAAGCCCCTTTATTTACATGTACTGTATTCAGCTGCAGTTCTTCCATGCTGCCATGGGCTGTGTGGCACAAAGGACCATTAGGTGAGTGGGCGGTGATGGCTTTAATCCGTGTGAGGATTGCAAGAGAGGCCAAGGTTGCAGCTCCTTCCTGTGGAGCAGGAGCTTTCCTTGAGGTTTGCACCATTAGCTCCCCATTCACATGCTGCCTCTGAAATCTTGCAAGATGTATTTGCTTCTTGTTTTTCATCAAACAACCTTATTCCCACAGTTGTCCCTCTACAACAGGAAAAAGTGGAGTTCCCAGATCAATAAGCTGAATTACCTCAGTGCTGTGGCACAGCTCCGATTCTCATAGCAGATGTCTGAGACCTGTCCCAAATAAACAGGAATACTGACTTTTCCTTGTCAGATATACTTCCTGGTACTTCCTACTTGCCAGCTAAATGTTTTCTATATTTTACAAAGTATGAAATCTTGGTTTTGATGAGTTGATTTAGTATTTAATTTTCTTACAATCCCTAGGAAAATAAGTAGAAGGGAAATATATGCTGGTTTTATTTTTTCTTCAAGAAATTCTAGAAAAGCTTGATTTCAAAGCTAAGGAGTCGGCAGGAGCTGCGAGAAAGTCCATAGTGGTCTTTATGATTGCAAAAGGATGCAGCAAGGAGTCCAGCCCACTGGGGAAGCACAGCTCGAAGCTCCCCCTTGCAGGGCTGCTCCGAAACTGCAGGGCCAGCTCACGCCTCTAGCCCAGGCTGGTTCAGGTCCCCTCCAGCCTTTGCACCGTCTCCTGTCTCCCTCCGGGTGGACAAGGCTCCCAGCCCACAGCATTGTCAGAAAAATGAGACCAACTGATGTCCTGTTGTTGCAGGCCGAGGAGACACCACTTATGCAACAGGCAGGGAAGTTCCAGCAGGATCTGTTGGATGGGAGGAGGCTGGTTCAGTTCAGCCACTCGAGGCTAGTCCTATTGTGAACCCCTTGTTTTGCCCAGACAAATGTGCTCGCCCTTCAGCCTGTGGCTGGGATAAAGGAGTGAGTTGTGGTTCCTCCCTGCCACATCTCCCGGCCTGCTACCCCAACCCAGCTGAGCAAACTCTGTCCCACTGTCCTGGTGCTGCCCAAAAAGCCCCTTTGGCTGTGCCATGCTCAGCCTGGTGTTACCAGGAATTAATTGATGCCCTGTCAAAGGCTTGGCAAGTGGAGTGCCCCAAACCATTTCAGGGTCAGTGCTGTCTCCCTTGGTTTGAGGGGTGCTGGTGAACGGACAAGGAAGGTGCAGAGAGCACGCAAAGGGCGGATGGGTGACTGTCTCTCAGTGGCCCTGTATGGGCTCTGGCACTTGTGACGGGGGTTTGGTAACCAGACGAATGCATTATCACCCGCCAGGTTTCGTTCCGCTACCACTGCCAGCTGTACTCGGAGTGGCGAAGGACCAACCAGAAAGTCCGCTTGATGATCCCAGCCTCGCGAAGCCCTCACCCTGTGCCCCACTCCCTCCTCTCTGCCAAGCTCATGAAGAAGACCGCGGATGAAACCGCCGTCTGAGCCGTGCCTCGGCTGCTCTGCCACGTGGCTGCTGGGGCAAGGGCAGCCCTTTGGGGCTGGCAGAAGCGAATGGGTGTCCCCATGCGCACAGAAAACGCGGCAACTGTGGGGGCACCAGAAAACAATCATCCCACCTGGAGGGACTTTGCGGTCAGCACATACTTTATACTGTGGCAAATAGACAGATAATCAGCATCTGTCACGTGAAATGGCCCAGAAGAGCCAGATGGCAGAATATGCCTGTCTGCAGGGACACTTTCCTATAACTAAATACCATACATGGAAAATATCTCCCTCTCTATATATATATCTATATATAATATTATTTTTTAATGGCCATGCATATTGTTTCAGTCTTTTTGTGTTGATGTTCTAAGCTTCAGTATAGAAGCTGGCAGCCTGATCTCATTCAGAGGTTAAATCTATGCCTTTTCTCCAAATGAGCATATAAAGAACACTTTTCATCGACTGTTCTTGAAAGTCCCCTTCTCCTTTGCACTAAATTGGTTTTGATAATACTGCAGCAGCCTTTCCTGTTACTCCTTGGTCTCTTTCGTGGTGTTTCTGTCCTTTATAGAAAGTTGTGTGTTTTTAATAATTATTATAATCCCAGAAGGAGTAAAATGACATAATACTGAATGGAGACATTTTGTATTGTAAAGTACTGTAATTTTGAGAATTTCAAAATAAGTTTTGGAATGAGAAGATCTCTTCCTGTGCAGACGCGATCTCACAAAATGCTTTCCTTGCAGATCCTGGCTCATCCCCAGGACTCGGATGCGCTCAGCTCTTGGTATGTCTGGCAAAGGTAGATGGAGGATCTGAGGGTGGGAAGTGATGGCTTGTACTAATTAAACCCACCTCTGCCTTTTGCTTTTAAGAGATTCAGGAAGGAGCTTTCCTGACCCCAAAAGGTGAGAGTCGGAGTCTCTGTTTGCTGATGTCCTTTCACCATCTTGAGGCTGGACCTCTCGAACATACCTTACGCGGCAGGCCGTGCTCTGCAGCTGCTCAACAGGAGGCAGGTGGCTTTGTTTGCACATTCCTCGGCAGCAGCCGGAGGAGCTGCTGTGGTTTGGTTCATCCCTGAAAGCGCTCTCTGCCTGTTACGTGTCCTCTAGTGAAACACACCAAGCTGACTGGTTCACAGAGAACAGGCTCTCGGTCCCTACTCCTGTGGGGCCTGGTGTTCTTCCTCCTTCATTCACCTGCATTTCCAGCACATCCAGCTAATGAACTCCTCTGTCTTGGAGTGCCCCATCTGCCAAGGGTCTCCCTGAGCTGGCTCTCTACCACTGCCCTGCCAGATGTCTGTGCTGTGCTTTCCTGAGCCCCGTGAGTGGAGCAGGCGGTAAGGATGCTGTTGGCTGTGCCCTGCTACGTGCTCCAGAGGTGTTTGTGCAGCTACTTGGTGTGAATCTTGGCTCTCCGTCCCGCGATGGTGAGGGTAGATAGCAGGGAGGAGGCCAGGCTCCAAGGTGCCTGTGTCCTTGCTCTGGGTGGTGGTGGTCACACACCACATCGCTCTGCTCCTTTGCTGAAGCCAAGCGGGTCAGTCTGATGCCTTGCTAGATTAAGACCTGTAACTTCATGAATTTAAAACACCACGTGCTGTCCCCCCTTCTCTTTAGCTGCAAAGCAGGATGCTTTGTATTCCCTGACCCTGGGCTGGAAGTTACTGGTGGCTTGAGCAGCAGGGGCCAGTGTCCTGTCTCCCGGTAGGATTGCTCCACCCCTGGGGCCTGGCGTGTGCTCTGCCCTCCTCCTTTGTCTCCTGTCCCAGGGTTCTTGTGCGACTTGGTGATGTCCCACCACCAAGCACATCTTGCAGCAGCCTCTCTCTGCCCCTCTGGGCAGGTCTGAGCTGGTCTCTGTTCTGAGCATGAGGGTCTTGTTTGCTCATGGGGTGAAAGTCTTCTGCCACAGCCAGGCTGTGCATGTCTGCTCCCCTCTCTCTGCCAGCCTTCCTGCCTGTCTCTTCCCTTCTGCCATGTACCCATGGGTACCTTCCCTTTTCCCTGTCATGCAGGGATGACAGCCCACAGTGCTCCTGGAGGCTTGTAGTACAGAGTCCTCTCAGCCCAGCTGCAGTTAAATCCCTGCACAGCAGTAACACCCTGCTTCAAATCAGCTTGTGCAGTGGAGCTCTCACACAGGCGCTGCCTCTCTCTGCACCCCCCTTCCCTTGGCAGTGAGTGCTGCACCACTGCTCTGTGCCTTGTCCTGTGTACCCCTTCCTTCAGCCCCCTCTCCCACAAACCCTCTGTCACCCAGACATTCCCTGTGAAGAAAAATTTGGGGGTTTAGTTTAACCTTTCCAGCCCTGGCTGCCTCCCAGGAGCTTGGTCTTGCAATGTGTCTGGTTCTGGCAGGTAACAAAGGATGTGCACTCCCACACCACGTTCCCCTAGTAAGGACTTAATGGAGCCAGTGTTCCAGTTAGGAAACCCACAGATGATCCAAATATGCAACTGTGGAAGCCGGAAGTCCCTGGCTGGGGGCAGCTGGGGCCCAGCCCTGTGCTGCTGTGCAGCCATGGCTTCACTCTCAGCTGTGTTGTCTTTATTGTAGTTGCCAATAATTGGAGTTGTTTGTGTGCCCCTGCAAAATCCAACAGTGACTCTTGGAGTCTTCTCTTCCTTCCCAGAGATGTTCAGCTCATGGATGTGAGAAATCAGTGTCTCTGACCCGCCACGTTCCAGTGTCATGGGGAAACGGGCTGTGCAATTATGTAAATAAATGTGAGACAAACTTTGGGCTGTTGTGTCGTTACTGGAGGAGGTGGGAGGTCCTGAGGAGCCCAGGCTGTCTCCCTGACAGGAAGCCCCCGGTCCTGGCTTCCTCGGATGCTATGAGCAGCTTTCCTGACCTGCACCCAGGAGAGCTGGCAGAAAATTCTGTATTTGAGGTGAAGCTGGACAAACCCAGGGCTTTTTGTCATTTATGGGCAGGTTTCTCATGTCTGCACACAGAAACCTCCCTGGTGAGGGTCAAGGGAGGAGGTGATGTTTAGGCCAAGGAAGACCCTTTGGCCTCTCCAGTGGGCGGGCGTGGGGCTGCATGGAGCAAGCCCAGTGGTCCCTGTGATGCCCCCCTGTAGGGGCTGCTGGCACTGCACGAGTGAATTCCCTGACTGGAGTCTGCCTTGGTCCAGTCCAGCCCAGCCCTTTGCTGTAGGGTGCTGGGAGATGCCAGGCGGACCTGTTTGACAGGCCATGCTCTTGTCCGAGGCCTTGGGGTACTGTGTCCGAGGCTGCAGCATGGGAGAGCGGCCAGCAGCTGCAGTGCCACACTCCTGGGCCATGCTGTGCAGCTGGCTCTGAGAGCCATCGCGGCAGGGGCTGCAGGGTGGCGTGGGGCAGGACACCTGCCCAGGGCTGGATCTGGTACCTTGGAGCAGAGACTTGAGCACCCACCAGTCCCTTTTCGGTGATGAGGAGCCCCAAACCGCCTGCAGTCCTGGCCCTACCCTTAGCCTCTGGCGTGGGGTGGGCACTGGGCCTGTAATGCAAAGCCTGGTTAGAAAGGCTGCGCCGCTTTGGAAGAGGGGGTCGTGGAGATTGTTAAGCTGCTGCTGAAGACACTGCAAAACCAACGTTTGAACATGTTTTCAAGGCTCCAGACAAGGCCATAACCTTGGGCAAGAGCTTGGACGAGACCCATGTTTCCTGCACAAGCTGGCAAATCCAGAGGGCTCTGGGTTTGCTTATATTAGAATTTAAAAGTTTTAAGTGAGAGTGCACCGTGTTCCTGGGGAGGAGGCTCACCCAGACCTTTAAAATAAAGCTCTGCTGCAACACAGCAATCTGCCCAGTCTGAGAAGAAAAAGCAGCAACAGCTAGAACAGTGTAAAAGAAGCATAAAACCCTGGAAAAGAGGTCTCACTGTTAGAAAACGAGACACATTTTGACAGAGGTGGCTTTCATCCACAGCTATGCAGAAGAACGTACCAAATCTGAGCAGGATTTGTTTGAAGCATCTTTGACACCGACCAGCATTGAGGAAAAACTTGTTTATTGAGGTGCCTTCGCTGCCTGATGCAGCAGCCTTTTTCCCTGGGAACAGGGAGGATCACACAGGTCTGATCAACACCCTGCTCTACCTTTGCTGTGAGGACAGGCCCCACCTTGGTGCGGGTGGGACCGGGGGTTTTGTGAGTTGCCCACTGTTCTCTGTGCCCAGCCACCGACTGATGAGGGCTGTGACCTGCTGTCCATGCGGGAAGGAGGACGGAACCTTTCTCAGCAGCCCAGCTGGCCATGGGGCGATGCTGTGTAGCCCTGAAGCCGGGGTAGCATCCATGTATTAGTCCCTGTGGTTGACCTGATTTGATTCTTGTGTTAGTTTGAGAAAACACAAGTATTAATCCTTTTTTGGGAGGTGCTAGTCGGACTTACATCTCCAAATAATTTGGTGGGTGGAATTATAATCACTGCTTTTTACCAAATCAGTGTACCTGATAATTCTTCAATATTCAACTATCCAGTTTGCTTCTCTGGTTGGGATGAGGCTCTTAGAAAGAAAATTCAGATGATTAGATCTTCTCCAGCCAAAGAGCTAATACCAGGAATTTGCTGCAGTTTAGGAAGAGGCTGTAGGAATTGCTGGTTTAAGACATGCTGATTTGTAGGACTGCCAGGATTTGTGGCATTGCATGGTAGAAGCCAAAAAATAGGAATAACGGAAGTTCTATAAATAACCAAAGTTCAAATGCTGGTCAAACAAATGTGAAAGTAAATCACATCCCACAAGACCCCGCTGACAGATAAGAAGGGCTTTAAACATGGTGGCTCCACGTTGTTCCGCCTGTTGAGAGTGAACCAGGCTGGGCACCAAGGCTCCTCAGCTACCACCAGACAGTAACGGACAGGCAGACCATCCCAGGGCTGCGTGTGACAATGGGGTATCCTCCCGCTCTCCTCCAGGAGAGCCTGCACGCTTGGCCTCCTCTGAAACACCCGTACATCAGCGCCCGCCGGATGGGGAACAAGGAGGAGGAA